CGTCCATGGGTTGAACCTGCAGCCAGTACTTCAACCAGTAGTAGTAATACCACTAATCGACAAGTTTTACACGTTGATGGGAAAAACAATTAAGTGTTTATACCTCCCTTAAGGGCCCCACTCACCTCGTTCTTCTCCGCTGTTTTTACCCGACGACGGTTAAAAACGTTGGAAGGAAGAACGTTGACTGATATGTCCACACACAACAGTTTTTTTCGCGCCAGTTTATCACGATGGACCGTACGTGCTTGTTAGCAGTAGCAGCGGTTTTGGCAGTGGAAAAAATCGCGAAAAAAAAATCTCAAAGAAAGAGGACTAAAGACTGGCTACTTAAACGCAGTACACTGTCACATACAAATTTACTGGAGGAGCTAAGATTGGAGCCTGGGCGATTGGCACAATTACTTGAGGATGGACGAGGATACGTTTAGGAAACTGTTAAAACTAGTAACACCGTTAATTGAGAGACATAATACCCTTTTACGTGAATGCATCACTCTGCACGAACGCCTAACATCTACTTTGATTTAACTGTTCCATCAGCATCCACTTTTTTGTATTTCATACGCCTTGTTTTTCTTGATTCGGTCATGGTATTCCGCCGATTTAACTTTCCACACGCAAGGAAATGATCTATAAAGCTCGATATACTGTAATAAAAAGTATTTGTTCCACTGCCTAATATCCGACATTTTTATTATAACCAACTTTAAATAATAATAAACGACAAAAACATGCTGAACGTCACTGCCACTGATAAATGCCCGATCATTCAAACTGTTGAGAACACACACCTTACCTTGTGTTAACTCGAACGGTTGGCACGATAACCGACAAAAATCAAGACTCGCCTGAAATTTTGGAACGACGTGCATAAACGACGTTCTTGCCCATACACCTCGTTTTTGTGACATTTTTACCCCGACTTTTTAACCGTCGGTTCAAAACGGCGGAGAAGGACGAGGTGAGTGGGGCCCTTTAATGGAACGTGGAATGACCAAGACTCAAGCAGCGCGAGAAACTGCCTCTTTAACGAAAATGCCATATTCTACAGTATTTAAAATAGTAAGTATGCCTATTTTTAAAAGAAGGAAAAGAAAAGACTCGGTTACTTCAAAGAAAGTAGATGGCTGTGATGTATACCTAATTCGAAGGAAAACATATGACTTGTATAGAGAGCAAATTGTGCCTAGACTAGATATATTGATGCAACGACTTGAAAAGGACGAAACTGGCATCCATTGTAGCAAAGAGACTTTAAGGAAGTCTCTTTTAAGAAACGGGTTTAAATTTAAAAAAATTAATAACAGCAAAAAAGTCATAATAGAATCTGTGCACCTTAAGCAATGGAGATTTCAATATTTATTGGCGATAAATTATTTTAGAGAAGCTGGCAGAACAGTTGTTTATTTGGATGAAACTTGGTTCGATACACACGATATTCCAAACAAAAGTTGGGTCTGACTCGTGCCAGACTAATGCGCCACATAATAAAGGCAAACGTATTACTATAATACACGCAGGAACCAATAATAGTTTTATACCTAATGCGTTGTCGTTATCGGCAAAAAATATTAAGGACTCCTTAGTCGATTACCATGACGACACTACTGCCGAATTATTTGAAGATTGGTTCCAAACTAAACTTTTGCCAAATATTCCACCCAACAGTGTTATGGTCATGGATAATGCCAGCTACCACAGTCAAAGACTAGGCACCTTGTTCAAACGACATAAAAGCCATCCTACAAGATTACATGGTAAACAATGATTTGTACTTTGAGGAAATGTACACAAAAAAGCAGTTACTGGAAGTTTTAAAAAGCTATTCAATACAAAAGGAATATTTTTGTGACACATTAGCTGAGAGCTTGGGACATACGGTGCTCAGACTTCCTCCTTACCACTGTATGTTTAACCCAATTGAACATATTATGGCGTCAGCTTAAGTCAGCAGTTCGAAGAAATAATACTTCTCCAACCTTAAGTTCGACTGTGGTAGCTCTTATTCAAACAGAAGCTGCAAAAATTCCTGATAGCAGCTGAACCAAGTGTGTTTCCCATATAAAAAAAGGTGGAAAAGACATATTGATATAGAAAAGATACCAATGAAAAGGTTTATTATTAATTTGGATGACGATAGTGAAAGTGAACTTCGTGAGTAATTTTGTTTTTTGTTTAAATAAATAAAATATTAGAAAATGAAATGAAAATTCAAAATCGACAATTGTTTCAGAAGCATAAACTTCTATCGTCAGGATTGACAATAGTGGAATTTTTACATTTCATTTTTTAATATTTTATTTATTATGAATAGATTCCACAATGTAAGGGTAGAAACAATCACTATGACCTAGCGACTTGTTCGTACTTTGTCATACTGATTTTTATTTTTACCAAGTTACCACTTTATACTTTTTAATAATTATATTTTATATGTTCAACCTACATTCTGTACTTTTAAATATTTTATTTTCTACTTTTTAGTACTTCTATTACCTACCTACTTTTTCGTACTTTGTCAAACCAATTTTTACTTTTACCATATTATACTTTTTAATAATTACATTTTATATATTCAACCTACATTTTGTACTTTTAAATACTTTATTTATTACTTTTTAGTACTTTTATTACCTACCTACTTTTTCGTACTTTGTCATACTGATTTTTGCTTTTACCAAGTTACCACGTTACTTTTTGTACACACTGTATAATTAAATAAACAATTCTGAATTATAGCAATTTTTCTTAATATTTATTTTACCCCAATTATTGACCTATAGAACAAAAGTTAATGGCTAGAGTATGTGCGTCTCTGCGTAGAGACAGCCGCCTGCTGATAAGTAAATTACCTGCTGTTTTATGGTAGTCACTTGATCTCTGGTTTAACTATACGTATCAACTTTATGAAATACAGCGTCCTTATGCAGTTGGGTACATACGGAAAATCTTTTTATTAGTCATTTCGTAGGAAATGTTAAAATAAATAAAAGTTTGTGCATGAAAAATAAATAACTTTACTATTCAAAATATGTGCCCAAAATACGGGATCTTCTAAAAACAGAAAAGTATGACGACACAAAACAAAAAAGTTACTCGAATCCAAATCACATTATGACGTTTTAAGTTAAATTGTGGATCTTTAAAAAAATAAACAACTTTTTGTTATACCTCTTTTTTCTTGAACCATTCATTTCTTAGCAATTTGTGTTACTATGGAGGAAAGTGCCACTTTTTCTCCCACAGGATATAGTTTACTGCCCGACGCGAAACGGGGGGCAATAAACATCCAAGGGGAGAATAGGCACTTTACTCACGTGTATTACATATGATTTTTTCTTCTACCCACTTATTAAACCTCTTTTTTTGAATACTTATTTACAGTACAAATAATGAATTTATCAATATATGTGATATAATTAAGCACACAAGTATCGTTCTATATTTAGCTCATCCAGCGACAAAGTTGACCTCTTTGTTGCTCGCCTAATTAACTATAATACAATAATATTACTTTTTAATAAATGATTTTCAAGTTATTTGTATTTATTTATTGGAAACAAACAGGCATTGTTCAATTTACATCTTTCATTTCTGTGTCTGTAATGTGTGGAGGGTGGGTTACCCCCACGGTACTTGGGCCTCATTAGGCCCATTGTGCATCCTCCTGAGAAGATAGGCACCTCCTAGCTCCAGATTTAATGCAGTTGACAACGTGGCCAAGAGGTGCTTCTCTACAGAAACAAAGTCTACACAGAACACGAGACGAAATAACCAACTAGTTGAAGCCGATGATACAAAAAAAACAAAAATAATAATACTTATTAATACGCCTATTGATGCTAAAAATAGTAATAACTCATAATAACATGGTAGTGAATGAATATATGTAGTTCATGTTTTTTATGGACTTTGAATATCAACTTCTTTTTTCATGATTAACGTAGGTATAGGCAACAGAGTATACACTACTTAAAAAAGTGTGCTCGTAGAATAAATCGTGCGTGTATTTTGAGTAAAAACTTCGTTGCCACTTTCAACAGATTGCCGCGCTCCGCTACGCGTCGCTTTCTATCTCAAGCGGCAAAGTATCACTTTTCGCTTTTAATACACAAATAGCTATTTTGACAAGATAGGCATAATTTGCAAATAAACTAAAGCCAATACGAAAAAGTTATTATAGTTTCTTTTTTAACAATCTAAAATATTTCTGCAGATGACATTTAGGTCCGAGCAAATTTTTAGTTTCCTGGTTTCAAATTTCTCAATATTCCCTTCATATCGAGCTGTATACTGAACATAAGATTTAAATAAGCGTATATTTTTCATGCAGAAACTTCTATTTATTTTAACATTTTCTCACAAGTGACAAAATTAAAATTAAAAGTAAAAACATTACGAAAATCCTCAGAAAAGTACGGAATTGTTCAAGTTTTATTAACAAAACAACAAGTATGTCGGGGCTGAAATTCTTGGTTGTTTTTCAGCCTTCGTCACTTAGGTATTTGGTGAAAATAAACATTACGTGGGAATTGGAAGTATATCTTAATTTGTTATACTTTGTATTAAAATGAAAACCATTTTTTTTTTAATTTATTTAAGTGCAATTTAAAATTTTTGATTGCTTTGTCGCAAATAAATTCATCTAAAATATATTCCTCATACATCATTGTAAATCCGCCTTTTTGTACACCTACATCCTTAGTGGTTTACCTCTCGAATTAGAAGATATTAATCACCAAAATGAGTTCAATTTATATTTTTTTGTTTTAATTTTGTCGATGAAGTTTATGCCATCAATAAAAACTCTTGGTTTTAACGTATAAATAAAACCTATATTCCGAAATTATTTGTATTTTTTTGTAATGGCAAAATAGGACTAAAATGTCAATCTGTGGGAAGAAAAATGACCAATATATCGAGATCTCTCCTTAAAACTACATCTGAATCATAATTTATTTTTTTAGATATCTAATATCGGTACCTTTTTTTTGTAGAAATTGATCAATATTTTTATGAACCCGATTCAAAAATAAGGGCACAAAAAAAGGAAATTCTTGTAAAAGAAATTCTACCCCTTTATATCCAAAGACTTGAAAACCAAATTAGAGAAAATAAAGGATTTCTAGCTATAGGAAAAGTAAGTTTATGTAATATTATTATTTGAACAGTTTTGTACGGATGACTAAATATTTTTTATGCACTTGGCCACTGTATACTCCCATGTACCCATGTACATTTTCATAAAACTTTGTTAAACTGTTTTAGAGTAAGAATCACTTCTAACATTTTTAACTTAAACTCGTAACTTTTTAACTCCATTTATACTTTCCTGTCTGTATACAGATAAGGAAAGTTTCGACCTCTAGTTTTCGACCGTTTTTGGGGTCCCCTGAATCCGTTTTGACTATTTTCGCGATGATGTCTTTTGAGTGCGTGTGCATGTCTGTGTGTCTGCATACTCGATAACTCATAAACGGATACAGAGAGAAACAAAATATTTTAAACTTAAGCTTTATTCCGGCCTGCGGTGAACTGATTAGATTTTGGGCAGAGTCGGAACATCTAAGGTTCTTTATAGGGGGTCTTTTTTAGAAAATTCTTCAAATAAAAGTTACTCATAATATTATTCTCTATAATGTTTGTCTCATACAAAATTTTCCGTATTCGAAAAATTTCAAAATGTACAAAATTAAAATTTTTAAGAAAATTGTTTAAATAAAATGTTTTTTGTCATATTATTTTCTATAATTCTTGTCTTATACATTATTTCTTTAAAGTGGACCTTATCCGAAATATTTGAGAAAAAGTGTAACTTTCGAATTTTGAAAAAAGTCAAAATTGAATAAAGAGAAAAACACCATTTTGAACTTAAACTTTATTCCGGCCTGAAGTGAACTGATTAGATTTTGGCAAAGTCGGACTTTTGTTTTTATATTTTATGGAATATATCTGTTATTTATATTTGAGAAAGAAAATTCTTCAAATAAAAGTTATTTCTTATATTAATCTCTATAATTTTTGTCCTATACAAAATTTTCCTTAAATGGACCGTATTCGAGATATTTGAGAAAATGTGTAAATTTCGAATTTTGAAGAAAACTCAAAAACAGATAAATAGAAAAACACCAAATTTTTAATTTAGGCTTCAATCCATCCTGCGGTAAAATGACGTAAATTTTTTGCATAGTCGGGAAATCTAGGGGTACTTTATAGAAAGTCGTTTTTCTACTTTATGTTATGCGCTTAGAGAAGAAAATTCTTCAAATAAAAGTTGTTTATTACGTTATTCTCTATAATTTTTGTCTTATACCTACATCATCTTCTTAAAATGGTCCGTATTCGAGAAATTTGACACACAGCGAAAAAATCTAATTTTTAAGAATATTGTTATTCTAAAAGTTGTTTGCGATACAATCTCTATAATTTTTGTTTCATACATGATTTCTCTAAAATGAACCGTAACGGAAAAATTTGAAAAAAGTGTTAAATTTTAATTTTTCAGTATTTTCCTTGGCAATAAATATATGTAGCGGGTTGACCGACATTCGGCCCTTGGCAAAATCATGGACTGTATTAAGTAATAATGTTTGAAAATATCTGTGCAAACCACAGGCCTGGGAGATGTAGCACTTCCATTAAAAGATCACCTTCTGATTAAATATTTTATTTTAAACTATGAATAATTTTATTTTTCACTTAAAACTAAACACTTTTTACATTATTTACAATATTTCTCTAGGAAATGTATTACTTAAATCAATTTTAATGTGTAAGATTTATGTTACATGATGGCGGACGAAGCGTCGCCTTTTTAACATCGCAAAACGCTGTTAAGCGAGCTTGTGACGTTGACCAATTAAGAAGTGCATAACTCCTATGGCGCTAACCAATGGATAACCAATGAAAAGTGGACAAGAAATAAATGATGCTTGTAACGTAGTTATTAGTTGGGAGACCTTTCTTATCGGCCAAAGCAGTGCCGGTTACAGAGACGTCTCCAGGAGTAGTAAAAAATCGAGAATGCAAGCTTAGTGTATTTTTGATGCAATATGAGCGCAGCGACAATTGCAACTTGTTGAATGTAATTCAGCAATACATAACATTGTTTTCAGTAAGATGTATGTGGAAAATGTATATATTTAGTACATCCTCTAAACATTTACAGCCTGTAATTACTAGACGGGGCACATGAGATTTTTTATCTAAGCAAGTTAGCTTAATTCGATTTATTTTCGACCCCAGAAATTGTGGTTAAATTTACTGTCTTTATCTTCATCTTTATCTTTATCGGTTGTAAGCAGGTAGGGTTAGGTTTGGTCCAGAACACTGCGGCCTCTTGGGTCTATTATATTCCCCTGCTTTCCCCGTATTCAGGTACTATCTTTGGAATAGTCCTGTGTCTTTGATTAGTTTTAATAGGTTCCCTACCAAGTGTTCCTGGGGCGTTCTTTCCGGTTCTAGGCCGAAAAGGATGAAAACTCGCCCAGTAAGAGCTTCGCATTCGAAGATCACATGGTATGAGGTTTCTTCCTCTTCCATGCAAAGTCTACACGTAGTGGGATCATTGTGTAAACCCATTACATGAAGGTGTTTCAGCAAGCAGTGCCCCGTTAGTAATCCCACAATGGTGGATATCTGAGGCCTTGCGAGATAGCCATGCGTGGGTTTGGTCCCCTTAGCATGAGCTTACTGATTCTGTGCCCTCTTATCTGTTGCCAGTGAATTTGGTATTTTATGGTTATCCTCCTGTCGAGCAGAGGTTTTGCTTATCCCAAATACAGTTTTACCTTGTTGTGGATTGCCAGATCATTTAGTATTCCAAGGCAGTTCCAGACAACGAGCCAGACAAGCTTTGACTTAATTCCGTTTGAATCAAGAGCCTTTAAAGCTGCCTGGCTATCTGAGAGAATTAGGATGGTTTGTTTTTTGTACTTCCTTCTTAAATTCTCTCGTACACACAATTCAATTGCATGTATTTCAGCCTGAAATACAGTAGCATGTTTTCCCAGTAAGACGATGATGTCGCATTTGGGTTTAACTCCATGTACGCCAGAGCCTGTTCCCTTGTTAGTTTTAGATCCATCCGGATACAATACGAGACCGCTAAGCAAGTATTTATCTATCTCCTTATTTACCTCGTTCCAGTTACAGTTGACCTGGAAGAGTCTGTTAAAGGTTATGTGATCTGATCCCATATTTAATATAGAATCATTTACTTCATGTGTTATTCTGGTATGTTTTATATGTCCCAGTGGGTTCCAGTTGTTGGAGATCTCCAGTCTGTATGCACTCATTCTGGCCTCCCCCTTTATGACTAGGTCAAGAGGTGGGACGTTTAGAATGATTTCCATAGAGGCTGTCGGTGTACTTCTCAGTGCTCCTGTAATACAAAGGCATGCCAGCCTCTGTACTCCTGAGAGGGTATTGAGGGCTGTTTTCTGGTTTATTTTTGGCCACCAAACAACCGCTCCGTAAGTTATCATGGGTCTTGTTATTGCTAAATATAATTGCTAATTTACTGTACATCTTTCTGTTTCACATTGTATTTTTTTTTTTAAATAAATTACAGATAGTAGCATTTTCCAACAAACTAATTTTAATTAATTTATTTTGAAGTATTTCTAAATGAACAAAAGAGAGTTAAAGTAATGCCAGAATACATATCTAATGACAGCTACGCATGCGCAACAGCTATTTTTTCCACGTATCTATTTACGTCTGACGTAAACGTACATACGCATTCGTATCGAGCCGAGCAAATGGAAGCATCCTTTCGCACCCAATTTAATAAAACTAATAACTTTATATTGCTCTGTTTTTTAAATTCCGAGTCATAATATGAAACGAGTTTCACTTGTAATTTATATAATATACACAGCACATTTATTCCTAGAAAGTTCATTGAAAAAAATGAATTAGTAAGAATTACCGGACATTGATACTCGATCATATCTGGCATACCAAGATCTCTAGCAACTAGCAAGCCTAATTATGTCGATTATTAAAATTGAATCTCCGATATAAAATATCACTATTTTCCCAATTTTCTTTTTATTGTATTTATAATACTACAGCATCATCTAAATCTTCATCATCATTTAAAGCCCCTAAATATAACTATCAATTCTTTTCTCAAAGAGTACCTAAGGTTATAAAGTTACAGATACGTTTACGTCAATGCTTTTGCTTTAACTATTGTTTTGTTCCAGATTTCACGTTTAACGTATCGTCAATTTCTACGTTTACGTCAGAGAGATACGCATACGTTTCTATCGTTGCTTTAACTCTCTAAAATCATAAGCAACTGTTAGGTCCAAAAACAAGTATGCAAGATATATTTTATTTTTTAATGTATTTCTTTTTTTACAGCTAACATGGGCTGATTTGTATTATGCAGGGCTCTATGAATACCTACATTATATGTTAGGTTTCGACTTCACAGAAAATGCTCCAAAATTGAGACACTTAAAACAACAAGTTTATGCTCTTCCAGCAATTAAAGCTTGGATCGAAAAACGTCCGAAAAATAATTTTTAAGACATAAAAAGTTTTTTTTGTAATATTTTTTTTATAAATTTTAATAAATGTTATTATTTAAAGTCTCTTCTTTCTAAAAGATTGGTATTTCAAATTAATGTTAATTATATTGTTTCTCTGAAGAAAATCTATTTTGTTTCATTTTTTAAATAATTAGTCAAATTACCTAGAGGAAATGAGGGTAATTTGGAATACTTAATTACTGATTGAATGCGTGGCGCCATCTCGTTAAATATTGCATAAACCACTAGCTTAGCATGCGTTTAGTGGACAACTGCTTTTCTAGTTACCTACTTTGATTGATGTTAGAGGGCAAACACATGTGAAAAATTTATTGTGGCGTGACTAAAATCGGCAATCATCGCATCCATTTTGTTTTTAAATTAACTTTTATTGGTTTCTCAGGTAAGTAAAGGCTTACATTTAAAGTTGTTAATTAAATTTTTTCGGTATGTTAAAGCATTTATTTTTTGCGACACATTATGGCGTAAATATTCATGTTGCTAATTTGGAAATACTACATATGATGCAAATTTGGAATATTCCAAATTATATTCATTTTTTTATGCCAGAAGGGGGGTAGTATTTTTCGATTGTATGTAGATTTACATTATATATAGAATGTCCCTAGGTATGTGTAGGCATATTTCTTGTTTCTCTCGTTTTAGTTTAGTATTTTATCTTTTTTCCAGCAATCTTTTTTGTAATATTTGATTTTTACTTTTGTTTTAGTCATGCCACCCAAAAAATCTCAAAAAAAGAGGCAGAACAGGAATCCAGAAGATATGGCCGCTGCTGTGCTGGCAGTAAGGGAGAAAAAAATGGGATACCTTAAGGTATCCATATACTTTAAGGTACCAAGAACTACATTATTTACTTGTTGCTGAAAAGGATACACCAACTGAACAGCTTGTTCGTAAAAATATTGGGCGAAAACCTGTTTTTAATAAACACTTTGAATCTATTTTGGTCGAATACGCGCTTACAATCGAGTCCAAATTTTACGGATTAACTCAAATGGACATAAGAGGTGGTATGATTGAACGTTTACGTTATCCGTAACGTACATGTTAGGCCGAGTTTTAACAGCATAAAGACAAATTCGTATGATGTAAAGTCTTTCATAACACATTACTGTTATTTTCTGCCTGTTATGTTCTAATTTAACAGGTTTCCATCATACGAACTTGCCTCGTTACTTTTAAAATTTGGCCTAACATGTACGTTACGGATAACGTAAACGTTCAATCATAGGACCCAAGATTAGCTTACCAACTAGCTGTTAGAAATAACATTTCAAACCCATTTACTTTCAATGCAGCTGGCCGCTATTGACTAAAGGGGTTTCTGTCGCGAAACAAAAATATTTTGTCTATGCGGAAGCCGACTGGCACGTCATTCGCAAGAGCCCTTGGATTCACAAAAGCACGTATGGATGAGTTCTATAATCTTTTAGAACAAGTTTACGGCTGATCGAATTTTCAATATAGACGAAACAGGTATGTCTATAGTCCAGAGCAAATATCCAAAAATTATTGCTAGATGCGGTAAAAAACAAATTGGCGCAATTACGTCAGCAGAAAAAGGTTCTCTCATTACAGTGGTGGCATGTATGAGCCCAGAGGGTATATTTGTACCGCCAATGATAATTTTTCCAAGAAAAAAACATGACAAACACTTTAATGAAAGGTGCACCTTTAGGTTCAATAGGCAAAGCACATCCGTCTGGATTGATTCAAACTAATCTACTCACACAGTGGTTTGAGCACTTTATTGCATACACAAAACCATGTGAAAAGTCGCCAGTATGAAGACGTCGCCAGTCTTGCTAATTTTTGACGGACATTATAGCCACACAAAAAATATAGATATTGTTGACATAACAAGGGATAATCACGTCACGCTGTTGTCGCTACCCCCACATTGTACTTACAAGGTCCAGCTGTTAGACAGATCATTTCGTACATCCGGCGCAACATCGTCGTAAGTGCAAAAATCTATTTTTTACAAAGGACTCATTTAAAAGTTTTGCTCGTCATAAACTGAAATATATTAAAAGTCAAATGATTAAATAATTGCTCATTTATTGTATATGTTATATTTACCACATTGCTGTACCAGATGTAGAAGCAGATTAAGCGTATTTTGTGACTAAAAAGTCACTTTCTAATATTTTTGCACTTATGACGTTGTATAGGCCTTTAACTGCATATGACATTGTCGAATTGTTTGGAAAGGCGTATCGCAAGTGTCAAACCAGCGAAATAGCAGCCAACGGTTTTAAAATAGGTGGTATCTACCCTTTTCACAGACATGTCTTTAGTGAATCAGATTACCTTGCTGCAGAGCAGGAGGAACAATTACAAAACGCCACCGTTCACCAATTAAACCAAAGTGACGTGTTATCCACAGATGAAGCTATATCCTCAGTAAACGATGGTGACCAAAAATCATGCGATGAAGCAGAGCCAGAAGCTGAACATTCTACAGAATCTGGAATATAACAGTTAGCAAGTAGCTCTGGTTTGTGTGTGACGCCATCTGATATTTCACCAGTGCCATTAACAAGGAAGCGAAATTCCAATAGGGGACGAAAAGCAACAAAATCAACAATAGTCTCTGGTCCTCCATACAAAAGAAAAAATAACCAACTAAGGTGGTCAAATTAACTTTAAGTAAGACTATAAAGAAAGTTAAGCAAGTAGGAAAAATAGGAAAAAGGAAGAAGAAAGCAAAAATCAGAGGACATAGAAACAGATAGTGAGTCTAATGCAAGCTTCCTCAGAAGAACTTGCTCCGGAATTTGATTAAGATAGAGAGCCAGAAGATCAGAAGACAGTATGTTTTTTCTGCGTTGGGAAATTTAGCGAAGATGCAAGTGGAGAGCAGTGGGTTCAGTGCCTCACATGTGAGTCATGGGTGCATTGTGATTGTGCCGGATATGACGCCGGAACATATGTGTGCGACTTCTGTAAATAATCTACCAAATTTTCCATTTTAATAAATGTTTGGTTACTACTTCAACAATGTTTCATTTACCTTTCTAATAAAAAAGCATGTGCTGCTATTTTGGAATATTCCAAATTAACTGCATGTTACGTAGACAGAGATTTTTGACACTTTATTTTACAATACAATAAATACTTTTAAATTAATTTAAATACTTTGAAATTTTCGTATGGCGTAGTACATATCTAGATCTAAGACATGTTAATTATTTTAATAAAAATATTCAACATTTAAATTTTTTGCAAATTTCTTTGAAACTACTATTCCGAATTACCCTCATTTCTTCTACTCAAAGTTAACAAAATGTTAGGTAAGTCATTTAATCTATAAAAAACATACATAAAAAATACATGATATTAAAAAACATACAAGTTTTCGTATGTAAAGAAAAATATTTTTAAAATTTTTCCAGAACTATTTTTTTAATCCATTTTTTCATTGATGAACGACGCCCATGCCGATATTTATTATGGAGACGAAATACATTCTAGCTTGTATTAGCATCTATAGTAGAGTGTATGTATTAAAATATTCGCTCTAGAAAACAAGCTGAATTTTTCATATGTGAAAGGTCATGATAAGGTAACCCTTATTCCAGAGGTAATACAAAATTAGACTATCATCAAAAATCCAGATATTGATACCACGAATAAAAAAAAAATACTCATTTTTTGGTCCAATGCACAATAAAATCTTTGTAGGGAGTAATTGTTTATACTTATTTAAAAACAATCATTTGCATTAGCCCTTACAGCCGAAAAAAAATTTAAAAGTAAATATCTCAGTTTCAGCCCTTCAAAAATTTGGTTAAAAAGTCGTCTTTTTTAAATATACCACTCATTTATCAAAAAAGGAAGACATAAATGAAAAAAAAAATTCTTTATAAAATGTTTATGTGTTGAAAAGGTAACAGAGTAAACACCATATTTTTTTGCTTTTGAATTAACAAAGATATAACAATAAACGATGAGAGATGTCATAGGTTTACGCTGTAATTAATTCTCACCATCAATTTCATCGACTCTCAGTGTATCTTTCTCTTCACCTTCAAACGTAGCATAGCTCTGTTTGGTGGATGTTTTCATTTTTTTATTATAAAACTTCTCGTTAAGTGCCAATGGGCAATGTGTCATATTGTTATCTGTTTTTACTAAAGAATTAATATAATAAAGTACCTAATAAATTAAGAATATATCCATTTATTGCATCTTTTTTATATCTACATTCATCCTGTTACAGCTGAATATATTTTGTTATATATTAAGTTATAAGTTTTTGTTTAAAATTTTAATTACGGATTTGTTGTTGCAAGAAGTAAAGACAAAAATAATATCAAAATAGGGATGTTCTTAATCCTCGCCAAGTCAATATGCTTGTTGATGCAACAAACAGGATAGAAATAAAAGGTCAACGTTTTAATTGCATATTTCATGTTTAACGTTGAGACAGAGGGAAATTTCACTAAAATAATAAAATATTTACTAAGTTTATTTTATTCTAAATAGGTCATGACTGATACTTGTTTATATTGTTGGATAATGTTGTCAACAATCCAGTTATAGCCTATACGCGTGTTTAGGGAAAACGTCACAGGTTGAGGAAGGGCACTGGATGCCCACACGAGATCCAGAACGTCAATTGTCATTAATGTCCATAAGAATAACACAGCGGTCATTGAAATTATTGAAGCTCAATTTTGAAAATGAAAGCAATTTAATTATTTAACATATTAGAACATATGGATGGTAAGGTAATAAAGTTTAAACGTTTCTCTATGGATTTCATAATATTTTTTTCAGGAAAACATTTATTTGTCTTCGATTTGAAGAATTTTAACACAGCCAACTCAAACCCTGGTTTTTGAAGTGAATATAATTTAATTAATTTACACTTTCAAAGCATATAAACGGTAAGTTGATAACATTCACATGTAATTCTATCAATTTCATAATATTTTTTACAGGAAAAGAATTATTTTTCTGTGATTTAAGAAATACTAACCCAACTTGTTTAAAGGG